AGGTGACAAAAGATTAAGGTACACCTAAGCATTTCTCATGACTTGTGAATGCGAAAGCAGGCAAGCCGCTCCTCCTCTCCCTTTTTCGTCTGCTACGTATTTTTCGTGCCCGGTCGGCACGTGTGCTCCCCTGGTGACCTTGGACGCTCCGCGCTGATGGACACGCAGCGCCATGGGGTGAGCGGTCGTGGAAACAATCGAGCGCAGTGGCCAATGGGAGCCCCGTCTACGTGCGCCAGCCAATAGAACCGAAGTAAACTATCTGCCGATTTCGCGCTTCAGACCGATGACGTCAGCTCGCTCCATGAGGCCCCCCCCTCCCCCCCACCCCCCCCCAGTTAATGCTTTCGCATTAAAAATTGAGACATTGGCACGTAACTTTTTTGTCGCGCTGCCATGTGCATCCTACGACAGACTGCTTTGGAACTTTTACACCTTATAACGCATGGTCACCATAACATGCGTCTGCATAGGAGAATCATGGACGCTTCTAAATATCGGACATCCACCTTATTTGGGTTCTTAATTCTACGGTTTTTATATAACGTTGACGTTTTAAATTGACGCAGGCTTGGTAGCTTTTCTTTTTACTTCTATACCAACTGCCACGTATAAAACCCTCAATGGTTAACACCCTCACCCCTTCACCATTTCCCCTTTCCAAGATAAAAACACCTTATAAACTCTTTTCTGTTTAGATTTCTAGTATCGCTTCAAAACGCAATAAGTTTGTTCGCGAAAGCAGCATGATATAAAAGAGGTCTACCGCTAAGGTCACACAAAGTTGCTTTCTCGATACTAGCAGTGCTGCCTGGTTATCTCTAATGCACGAATGGTTGTAATTACAAAACGAGGATTTCTTTACATTTTGTTCTTAATTTGTCCTGTTTGAGTCTTACCAAACAACGCTTGTCACGTTGTTTGTCTCGCACTTTTCAGCTAAACTTTTATCGCAGCATCCTATCCTGACGTAAGCTACACTCTCCACCCATTTTGAATGGAAAAAAATGTCGCCTAGAAGATCACGTTCGAATCCAGTTTGGTGTTATCTGGCGTATGTAGTACGCTCCATTGTTTAGCGCGCTTTGATATGAATCAGTAAAATACGCCCATATTGCGGAAGTTCAGCTTCCGCAATAACAATAATGTCTTTCTAATCGACGGATAACGCGACAATACAGCGTAAAGCAAAATCCTGGCTTTCGGGTTATAAAACCATAGATAAGAGGGAGTATAGTCTAAAATTAAAAAAAAAAAAAGATGCATATGATATATTTTAAAAACGACTTGTACAGCTTCTCAAGTAACACTTCCGAAAATATGGAAATGGGGCGTCTATACCTGGTCTCTGAAACTTCGGAAGTTCTAACAATACAAGTTAATATTAATAAAAACAAATTTTACTGTAATCAAAACCGAGTAAATCAGGTCAAGAAAAATTTCATTTTATACAAGCTTATTATTTTGTTCTTAAAATCTTTTTTTATCAGCCTGAACGCTACGAACCAATAGATGGCGCTGCCCTTGGTGCGGTTTACAACAACTTATCTCCAGCTGAAATTGCCGTGCGCTGCGCAGCTATTGGGGAGAGATGGGGGCGGGGGCGGGCGTACGACCGGAACCGGAAATAGCTACTCTTCAGCTTCCGGTTTCTGCCACAGTTCCGTGTTTTATTGTGTGTGTGTTTTTTTTTTTTTTTTTTTTTCGGTCAAGGCGATTTACTGTGTTACGAAAAGGTGGCGCTTTGTCGGCGTTGCGATTATTTTTTTTTTCGCGTCTGTTTTTGGTTTTTAAGAGTTTGTTGTACGAGCTCCAAACTTTTGCCTTGATAGCCATTCATTTATTGCGAAGCTTTGCTTCGGGGTCCGATGTCGCGAAAGTACACCGGATAGTTTTTGAATTTTGTTTTCGGCATCGGCACAGTACGGCTCGGCATCGGCGTACGGCTCGAAACTTCTCTTAGTAATGGAGAAAAAAAAAAGTCTTCTTAGAATAAAAATATGTTTGTAGCTCTGAGCAAGTTTTTCTTTTTATCCAGAGTTTGTAAAAAAATGAGATCGAGTTGAACTTTCTCCTTCGTTCCATTTCTGCACTCACAAAGTTGTTAAGGAATAAACAAAAACAGTCTTTGCTGCAGTTGTTCCTCTCCAGAACACGAAAAAGTGTGAGAAATTACCAACAAAGCGGAAAACTAAATTTAAAAATAAAATGTTGGTAAAATCAATATAATGTTTCGAGTACTCCCGATATCGAAGAAACATAGCTGTTTTTTTTATAAACTGCGCTTACAATATTTTTTATATTCTAAAGCAATATTTGTGGCTATAATTTAACAACCCTCAGATATATGCAATAGTTTAAGACTAATTTTAGTTCGACAAATTACTCTGTAAACAAAACCAATAGGTCGATACATTTTACAGTAGTAAACTCGAAAAGGAGCTCTATTCGGCGGTTAGACGCTCACTAGGGGCCCTTCTCTTTTCGTCCCTATGGGTAGTGCACTTGCTTCCCACGTGTTTCTTTTATTTTTTACATATGCATTATTATTACATATGCAGTCATTGTTTCACAAGCTCTATCACCATGCATCGCTCCACGACGTTTTGGTTAGAGCACCACCCATTATTGCCCTACGTCGCGATCATTCATTTGAAGCAGCACGCATCAGATGCCACTCATCTAGTTACGCACGACCATTCATACCACAGACCATAATCGACTGAAACAACCTACCAGCTCATATCGCGACTGACCTAGATATGTCTAACTTGCAAGAGCTCGTCTGTAGTTATACTAATACTCAAGATTTTTTTTTTATTTATTGTTCTCATATTGTCTTTGTATATATTTTTTAGCTTTATTTGTGTACTATGATATATTTGCTTGCCCTCCCCCCCCCCCCCCCCCTCTATGTAATATCATCATACAGAGGGCTTTTAGGGGTATTTTAAACAAATAAATAAATAAATATGCGCATAGAAGTTTGGCAGTGAACCTGATTACGCCAATGGAGCAAGTCAAAGTATCCTCACTCTGGGTTGTGAAAAAATTCCACCATGCGGCGACACCCAAAACATCTCGCCGCGAATAGAGTCTGTAACACTAAATTCTAAGATATAAATCAAGGATCCTATTCTTATGGGTGCCTTCGAGTTAGCATCGTAATCCGCCACGTTAAGTTACAAACAAAAAAGTTTCACAAACAATTCATGAGTATAACCATCGACGACTTAAGAAACCGCGGGGCGTGGCCTTATACGTGCACGTTTTGTGATTGGTACTTGGAATTTCTTATCGGCTAACGCCACAGCCTGATTGGCTGCCGAGCGAGGAACTTGCCACGTCCTTTAAGCTGTCACTGATCACAGTTGTATCCAATTCTCTCTCTATACAATACTAAAAAGAAATACTGCAGATACAAATTAAAAAAAAAAAAGAAACGAAGCTGCGGATACAAATCTCACACTCCGGATCTGCTCTAACGATTTACAAGTGTATCTAGTTTGCTTTACCAGGTTCAATTTCAAATTATATTAAGCAAATACCTTGGCTTCCACGCAAAAAAAAAACATTATTTATTGCCGTTTACTAAATTCAAGCACTTGATCAGGCAAGCCCTCCGCACTCAAGCAATCTATTCTTCGAAAACCCCAGCAGCGAACAAAAAAAATATCACTTGCAAAATGTTTTGCGCAAAAGTTTACTTAGAAAAAAAAAAATCGTTTGCTCTGTTCATTAGCGTACCCTTCCTTGTTCGAGTGCGCGCCCTTCCTAAAGGCGGTGGGTCAACGAGAGAGTAGCGATCGACATTAGGAAAGACCTGCGCAGCTAATGTCAATACCTTTCTCGCCTATTCTCAGGCCACGTCTTGCAGAGCGCCATTTGCCTTTATACCCTGTTACTTGTGACTTGAGCCTAAATAAAACAAACAGACACAAAAAAACGAACAGACAGGCAAACAGAGTCAGGCAGGCAGATAAATAAACACATTAGATACCGTATTTACTCGAGTAATAGCCCTTGTGTCTACTTTCCCGCAAAGCACATATAATGCCAATCATTGCGTTACGCACAAATAACATAGCGAAA